GCTACAGCAGGTGGGCGATACCGGCCAGGGGTCAGCCGGTAGCATCAGGACCGAGGGCCAGTCACTGTGCCTCCCCCCAAGTGGCATTGAGCAGAGAAAAACGTGTTTTGAGGTCTAAGCGACTATGCGAAGAGTTGTCTTTCAGGCAGGTCCAAACATACCCTAAAAAACACGTTTTTAACCTACAGTAACTCTTCGCATAGTCGCTTAGTCCAAAATCTGACTATGCGATTTAGAGTTACTGTCAGATCAGGGAGTTAAAAAAACGTGTTTTGAGGTCCAAGCGACTATGCGAAGAGTTGTCTTTCAGGCAGGTCCAAACATACCGTAAAAAACACGTTTCTAACCTACAGTAACTCTTCGCACAGCCGCTTAGTCCAAAATCTGACTATGCGATTTAGAGTTACTGTCAGATCAGGGAGTTAAAAAAACGTGTTTTGAGGTCTAAGCGACTATGCGAANAGCCGCTTAGTCCAAAATCTGACTATGCGATTTAGAGTTACTGTCAGATCAGGGAGTTAAAAAAACGTGTTTTGAGGTCTAAGCGACTATGCGAAGAGTTGTCTTTCAGGCAGGTCCAAACATACCGTAAAAAACACGTTTTTAACCTACAGTAACTCTTCGCATAGCCGCTTAGTCCAAAATCTGACTATGCGATTTAGAGTTACTGTCAGATCAGGGAGTTTAAAAAAACGTGTTTTGAGGTCTAAGGGACTGTGCGAAGAGTTGTCTTTCAGGCAGGTCCAAACATACCATAAAAAACACGTTTCTAACCTACAGTAACTCTTCGCACAGTCGCTTAGTCCAAAATCTGACTATGCGATTTCGAGTTACTGTCAGATCAGGGAGTTAAAAAAACGTGTTTTGAGGTCTAAGCGACTTTGCGACAGTTAACTCTAAATCTGACGTCCAAAATGAATAAAGAGAATTTTTTTATTCCCAAAAAGATACAGTCATCACAACGAGGAGGAGGAGACTAACTGTAAAACCAGTCAACCACGACCAACAAGAGCACACAAGATTGTTGTAGTCGCCTGCACAAAGTCATCACACCCAGGAGGAGGGAGGCTACCTAGCTGTCATTTCATTTGTTTATCGATGACAACAGGACATGAGATTGTGATGATCATCATCGCTCTACGAATAGGCGGAAAAAAAAAAACCACGAAAAGCATGCACGATCGTTGCAAGCTGCCCTGCCTGTTTTCGTACACAACATTTCCCTGTTGCAAAAGGCCCTTTTACCCCTTGTAAGGGGGGTTGTGCAAGTTTGCATTTACCCCTGTCAGGGGCCAAACACAAATTTTCAACTCTGCGTTATATACCTCAATCAGGGCCAGAAGACAAACTTGCAAGTTTGGATTATACCCCCCCGTCAAAGGCAGAACACAACATTGCCTTTCAAGCTGGACTTGCAAGTTTGGATTATACCCCCGTCAGAGGCAGAACACAATATTGCCTTTCAAGCTGGACTTGCAAGTTTGGATTATACCCCCGTCACAA